GGGGACGTGGTTACGAAGCCTAATGGCGTAAAATTGTTATGATTTGTGGGAAAATTGGTCATTAGCTGCAGGAGCAGGGAAAACAAACGCGTTTCCCGACGCAGCCGCGCTGAGCCAACGCGCTGCAGTTGGCAAACGCAAGGCTCCGCTCCGCGCCACGGGCTCCGTGCTGGGCTCATTCCTAGGCACTACGGTGCATTTGGCTCATGAATTCCCAGCTTGGATTAGAGCCGTTTTCCTCCAGCATGGGATTTAGCACCCAGGAGGCCAGCCATGCTGCTGGGCGTTAATTCCCCCATCACCGCTTGGTTTTCCCCTGTTTGAGGTGGACCAGAAAGCTTCCAGGCTGGCATCGCGTTGGACTGCAACGTGCTGGTGCTCCCAGATTCAAACTGCATCCGATCAAATACAATATTAACAAGAATCAGGTCACTCTTAATTAGCTGCAGCTTGCCGAGTTGATTCCCCTCTTCCAGACACATCGTGGCTTCTGGTATTAACCATCAAGCAGGCTTCCTCAGAGCAATTATCCCATCAAAACCGGTTGCTCTCATGGTTAACAATTTTCATAGTAAAGCATTAATTGCCCCTGGCTTACCCACCTTCTAATCAGCAAGGTAGATATTAGTTTCTGGAAGTGATTGATTTCAAGGGATTTGGTGCTTAATTACATTTTAGCAAAGCCTGTTTTGAATCCTTGGAGAAGAGAGAACGCTTCTGTTTGGCTTTGAACATACCCTGGTGAAGGGATCTGAGTAAATTACTGCGTTCGCTCTTGAGTGCACGCGCTGAGATGGTGGCGTTTTGTCACATCTGATTCATCTTTGCCCAGAAGAGCTCGCCCCAATCGTAGGGTTCACATTAATAAGTAAGTTTGCTTTAAAAAATAATGATTATGTTATATATATATCTCCTACATCAGTAAAACTTACCCTTTGCTGGCAGCTAGAGAAAGATCGCGGCCTGATCCTTATCTCAGCGGGAGCCTCCAGCCCGGTCGACCTCAATTACTTCAGGAACAGAAAATCCATGGAAGGTGGAAGCGGGGCCGTGCTGGCAGAGCGCACGGGATGTGGCAGGATTCCCGGCGGTGGGATAATCGCCCCCCCACTCCCTGGGGTCACCAGCTAGTTCATTCCCTTCACTCTGGCCAGATTTTTGGACTAATATTGCTAATTTTGCTGGCTTTCATTTCGATGTCATGAAGGATGAGAAGGGCTCCGGATAGGCAAGTGGCTGTAGTAAGAGAGAATCCCATTTTTTGTTAAAGTTAATTAACGTCCACTCATTATTAGCTGGGTTTAATAACTGGTAATGCTGGCCGCTAAATGAGCAGGGGTTACGGCAGCCTTGCCAGCTCGGCAGTCACCGCCGGTGCTTGCACGGGTCCGCTCTGCACAGTGCAAGGCAGCTGACGGCGTGCTCCACTAATGGTAAATAGTGCTCCTGTGCTAATTAATATCTGTACAGCTCTTATTAAATCCCAATTAAAGGTTTAATTAGGCTGTTTAAAGCAATGGTATGTGTTCATCATCGCCAAGTGCGGTGGAGACCGCGTTTCTCGGTGTTTGGCTTGGGAAGGGCATCGGTCCCCAGGAGCGCGGCACAGGGATCCCGTTATCGGGATGTGCCGGAGCGTTTCGGAGCCGGCGTGCGAGGGCTGCCCGAGCCCGGCCGGAGCTCTGCAGCATCGAGACCATCCCCAGAGAGGCCACGGGGCAGCGAGGAGCGTTCGTGGGCGCAGGGGGCTGCTGCCGTCAGCCTTAAATATACAAACTGTGTGAAGATTAAAAAAACCATTAAAATGCAATTATTTCAGCCACATAAGTTTATAGCTATATAAGTACATTAAAAGACCAACTTTGTGGGTCTTTATGTGCTTAATAAAACTGAATAATTTGCTGAAAAATCTTTGGTGCCACTTAGCAAGAAGTTGCATGTCTGTTAGCCTGTAGGAGCGGGTGCCTTAGAAGGCCGGAGAAGAGCACTGTTAATGAAAAAGTTCTTCTGTGTCATGCAGAACACAGGGAACAATCAGGTGGCCATAAAGTTGACAAAAACATGTGCTTAGCCTTAAAGCAAAAGGCAGAACAGAGGAAGCAAAGAGATCGTAACTCTTGGCCTTCCTGGACAAGTCAGCAGCGCGTGACAGTAGGGATGTGCAGAGAAGATGGGTTTACTTCTGCAAATGGCATTTTCAGGGAAGTTGGTTGCAAGATTTTATTAGCTGTTTATCATTTAGCGAGCAGGGTGGCATTTCCAGGCCAGATGAAACCCAAGATAGATAAACACACGGTGGTGAGGCTGCAGCTCTGTGCTCGCTCTTGTATGAAAAGGCAATTATAAAGGGTCCGCACTGCTCCCATCCATGAAACCTGCAAGTCACCGTCACTAATAGGGATCACGGAGTGCTCCACGGCCACGTTTTAGGGAGCGACACGTCTCCCGCTGTTTATTCCTGCGTACGGATGGGGTAGATGTGAGAGTCTGTCCCTGCAGCTGCCTTGGGGAGGGAGGGCCCATGGGACCGGCACATCCGTACGCGGGGCTGGAGAGCGGGAGCCCTCCCCGCTCCGCGTCGCGCTCCGTGAATCCCAGCTCTCAACCTGCCTCCTTCCCGCCGTCTCGGGAGGCGCTGCAGGGAATCAATGATCTATTCCAGACCCGGCAGGTTTCCGGCTCCTGAAACCAGAACCGCCGGCGTCCCGCGCACGGAGCCGGCGGAGGAGCGCGTGGCTGCGGGAACGGCCCTGCTCCGGGCCCGGTTCCTCCCGCGGCCCGGCCGGGCACCAGGGACCCTCCGGGAGCAGCGTTTGTCCCTCAGGCTCCAGGAACCGGCGCGTCGAGGCTCCTGCCGGCCGCTTCCCGCTGGATTCAGCCCCTGTCCTGTTATCCCACAGCCGACTGGAGAACCAGAGATCAAGAGGGAGTTTGAGACTTAGAGCTCTCATTTTGATCAATGTTTATATGGATTTTCAATGGGGAACTGCACTTTTATTCTTTTTGGTTAATCACAAGTATCTACTTTCTTACTGGCCCTGTGCTCAGGTCACACGCTTATTTGCACATTCCGTAAAAAAATCAGGGAAGGCTGCGAACAGATTCCAATTCTTAACAACATGCGACATTTCAGCTCTCTGTGTCTGGAGCAGGAAAGAGATGCTGCCTCATGGTCCCCTGCTTTGCTGCTTCAGGGGACAGCTTGATTTTACACCCAAGCATTTTGTTAAATGTACCAAAAAAGAGGCAATCCAAGCCCGTCTGTCACTTGCATCCTGGTGGCTGCCAGAGTCATTTGTTTGTGGGAATCGCGCTGCAAACGGGTGGCAAACGCGCTCCGAGGCGGGAGGGCCCCGGCCGGGTGCCCGGCGCGGCCGCGCTCACAGGGGACATCTCCGCATCAGCAGCACCGCGGGAGCAAAGCGTTTTCATTTCCAATTTCAGAGCTGTCATAAAAATAGAACAAGTTCAGGCGTCGGGGGGATTTAGCGTAACCTTGCTGCTTACAGTGGGCAACCGAGGAGATTATTCCTCACATCTATATTCAGCTCCGTGTGCCAGCCTTGCTGGATGTTGGAAGCACTCTGGATTTTGTCCCCAGCAGAATGTTTTAACCTTTCCTGCTTAGTGCATTTGAAACACCGCTTGTGACATTTCGCAAGGACACCAGAAGTCGCATTCCTGTTTTCCCGCAGTTCTCAGCAGCTTTTCCTCATTTTTTTGCTCCCTGAGCATGTGGAAGTGTCTCTTTTTGGTCAGTGGATATGCACATGTGTGCACACACGAACCATGCCGAGACGAGTCAGGTGTGAAGCATTTGTGTGCAAAGGATCTGTCCCTGCACGGCGCCCTCCGAGCAGCCGGCTCACCCAAAACGCTCGTCTTGTGCCATTGCACCTCCTGCCAGCGGAGCCCTGCACCCGGCCGGGCTCAACAGGGCTGGAAATGCAAGGACCCAGCAGCCTCTTTCCAGCAAGATGCTGCTGCTGCTCCCGCTGGTCCCGCAGCCCTGGGCTCTTCCCGAGCGGCGCCTTCCCTGGCAGAGAGCGGATATTGAACAATCCCAAACGGTCTGCTTGCTTAGGCAGGGAAAGCTGCTAATTTTGGAGACTCGTGAGCACGAGCTTTGTATTTCTTTGAGGTTTGCTCATTACTATTTTACAAACAGCCAGCTGTGGGTGTCATTTGGTAGTCTAATACGTGCGCGGATACCAAATCCGCGAGCAGACAGGCTGAGCAGCGTGTGCGATACGCGCTCTCCGCCAAACACGGCTCCGTTGCGCATTTGATAAGTGCCAGGCTGCCTGCTCCAGATCCGGCTCCCGCGTTGTGCCGCTTGCCCCTATTTTGACAGCTAGGCTGCATAAACATCTCAGCTGTTGCTCTATAATTATTCCTTGATGCTCCCATTTTTCACAGCTTTGTGAATGTTTTCTACATCTAGCTAAATGGCTCCCTGTTTCAGGGATTAGCTGGAGCTGTTGAGTTCCTTCTCCTGTATCCCTGTGTGCTGGAGACCCTTCCGAAGGAGCAGGAGGCAGGAGACGAAATTGCCTCCAGGAGCCAGTGGCAAATGAAGGTGCAATGAATTAAAGACACGTGGGTTAAATGTGCTGCTCTCGGTGGGGACACACGCGTGCTCGCCTGCCTTCCCTTCGCTGCTCATTAGGTGCTAATTTAATAACTCGTTAGGATTAATAAATTCTCTTGGAGGTTACTTCCAGGTTAGCCTGGTGATGAAACAAATGGCACTGGAAATCCAATTAGACACAATGATCTAATAATTACATATGACCATAATCCTATCTCTGCCAAAAAATTGCTGGAAGATCCTTGGAAAATCCTGGGAAATGTGCTGCCTGGGAGGTGGCAAGGGCCAAGCCAGGCTACATGGGAGCTAATTGGCATCTCTGCCTGTGCTGCCCGGAGCCTGCGGGCTCCTCGGCTCATTAAAGCTGCTCCCAGGCTTCCGAGGAGAAAAAGACAACCTGAATCTTCCAAAAAAGTCGCAAGGAAAAGATCAAAAGCCTTTTATTCGAAATGCAGTTGATTTTTGCCAAATTAAGCAGAGAAAGAGACAGTGTTTTTTCTCTGGACATGTTCTGTCTTGTGAAAAACAGGGCAAAAATATGATTTTTTTTCTGCCTATTTATTGTTCCTGATCTCTAGCAGTCTCTGGGATAATGAATTATGGAGCAGACGCGTCGCACTTGGCTTCAGCGGCGGATTCCAGCGCAGACAGGGTTTGCTCGGCACCTTCCCATTGCCAGTGCAGAGAGTCTCCTGGCAGTGCTCGTGCTCCGGAGCGCGATCCATGGGGAAGCCGGGCCCTTTGGAAAGCTGCTCAAGCAGAGGCAAAGGAGGGAGACCTCGGAGCTCCCCGCTGCGGATGGAGACGCTCAGGGCAGCAACCTGGGGGCAATGGGGCCTTCCAGTGGGAACCCGCAGGGACGTTCTCAGCTGCCCTTTTTAGGCGTCTTATTTGTTTAAAACCAGAGTTCTGTCTTTTTTTAAAAAAAATCCACGTGTAAGTTTGCATTTGTTTGTTAGGGGGTAAGAGAAAGGTTTTATTGCCAGCATTATTTATGAGCAGTATAATCTCAGGGCATCTCCGTTAAAATCAGGTTCCAGCTGGAAAATGATATTAACCAAGACAAGTGTGCACATTTGCTTCATAAATCCATGAAACCTGATTAACAATGATGCTCCTGATGTTCGTTTCGTCATTAGGAGCCTTCTTGTAGCAGGACCCGGGCTGTGCTGGGTGCTCGATGGGCTAACATGCTGCGAAGATGCTTTGCTGTACAGCAGGGCGTGCCTTAACTCAGGAGTTGCTTTTGGGCCTTGCCATTATTATTGTATTTATCTAGGAATTTTGGAGCTGAGCAGCCAACTAGACCAGCCTTTGCCCCTTTTCTGGTACTTTTCCCCCGGAAAAGCCGGTTGCCGTGCTGCCGGTGCACGTGGGGAGCAGGAGTTGTCTTGCTGCAAGCCGCAGCAGCCGCTTCGCTCAGCTCCTGAATAATTTAGAGCAGAAGCCTTTGATTAATGTCGGGAGAAAAAGGAAACAAAGTTAGCTATAACTATAGGCCATTCAGAGTATGGATTGCCAGCAAAAATGTGCAAAGCGCTGTCATGAGAGGATTAATTACACAGATTAAATATTTTATAAGTTAAATAATGTGTATTTTTTGGAGACAAAATGGAATGTCATTTTTTCCCCCAAGACAGGGAAAGTAACTGTATTCACTTCCATCTGGCCCACGGAGCAACACCAGCGCTGCTGACGGGGGATGGATCAGGGCTGCGGTTCCCGCCGGCCCCGCGCTGCATTTGGAGCAGCACCGGGTCCCTCCTGCACACGGTTTTGTGGGGGAGAAAAGGGTCCCCGAGCTGCTCCCTGGGGCTGCTCCTCCCAGGTGTAGCAGAGAGGGGCTGCAAGGGGTGTTAATTACTTAATTACTGCTCAGGGCAGCCCAGGTGGTTTGGATTGCTCCCTGCTAAAAGGGCAGGTTTGTGGTGGTCAGGGGCAATGCTGTGGTTGTGGGGTTGGGGGGCTGTTTTGTCGCTGCCAGCAGCTTCCTGGGGCTGCTGGGGAGCAGTAGCCCTGCACTGGATGGGCTCTCCTGCCCGGCGGGCTTGGAGCGGGCATTTCCTCCTCATCCTCCTCCTCCTTGCTTTACCTGGCTGCCCTGGGGGCCCTGGGATGTTCAGAGCTGCATCTGCTCCTCGCGGCGCTTCCGTGGTGTCCTTGTTCAGTGCTGGGATCCGCCAGCCCCAGGGGACCTGTTGTGTCCCGCAAGGTAAGTGGGAGCGTGGTTATTCCAGACAGCCTCTCGGATGGCGCCCGGCCGCTCCGATGGAGGGTATGGACGGGGTAACCCCCATCTCTGCGTGGGGAACGAGGGCCGGGATCGCCGCCCCGGACTCCTCGTGCGCCACCGGCTACCCCCACGCGCCGAGGGGCCTCGTACCCGGCCCTTGTCCCGTCCGCGCCGCGCTCCTTCAGAAAAGATCTTAACTGCAGTTTCCTAAGGCAAATTGTCCCCAATGTGTTATTGATTGGGTAAAAGGGAACTGTTTTATTAAACCTTGCAATCTTGAATATGGTTCTGTTCCTTACAAATATCCTATTACCTGCTCGGGGACCACCCACACGCTTTACCGCTTCCACTTCTGCCCTGCAATCCTTCATGCCAGTTGACTTCTCATTTCTAAATCCCATTTCACATTAAGCACAGAGCTGCACGCTCTGTCCCATTTTTCTTTGAAATAAATCAGAAGTGGGTGCCAGAAGTGACTCGAGGTGTTCCTCAGAGTTGGCAAACGGTGCTGAAGTCCTGGGGGAGATGTCACAAAGTGCAGGTCTGAATTTAGTCAGGAGTTTTTCAGCTTAATGTGTATGTTGGGGTGTTTCCACCTGCACTGGAAGCAGATGTGCTGCTGGTCCTGGCAGACCAGGGTCGCTGCGAGGGCTCCTGGCGCTTCCGGAGACTCCCAGCTGGACAAACAGGGACACACGGGGCCTGGGGACCCGGCCATGTCCTTCAAGTGGCCACCGCCTTGTGGAGCATCTTCTGCCCCCTCCAAGAGTCCCCACATGAGCAAAACCAGAACCGACCTGGCAGCACCGAGTTCCCTTTGCGCATTGTGATCACATGGGAATTCGTTTTAAAATGTCTTGTCTTATTTGTGACTTCAGTCTCCCTGGGCATAAAAGAAACTCTGTTCAAAGCAATTACTACCCACCCAGGAATTGCTCCACCAGGCCCTTCCCCTGTGACTGTCACAGGTTAAATAAGAGGCAGGTGCTGAAGGCTCGGGATGAGGTGACAGACTCTGACATTTAGGGCTGGTTTGCATGGAGCGCGTAATTGCCATTAAAATGATAATTATGTGCTTGGCCTCAGCACTGGGTGATAAACCTCAGCCTGTTCCCCGCAGCGTCTCCCTCCCTCCTCAGCGCGGGTGAGCGCCCGCATCGCCCCGTGCACGGGGGGTTCCTGCCCGTTAATCGGGTGCTGGTCCGGGTCTATTCCCCGAGTCCGTGGGAAGCGGATGCACGAGCGCCGCGTGGCTCCCCGGATCAGGGCTCGCGGTTCTGCTGTGGGGGTTGTTGGAGCGATGCCCGTGGAGGGGCCGGACCGCGCGGGGTGGCACAGCCGGAGACACCAGCACTGGGATAGAACGGGCTGCTTCGCACAGCAAAATCCAGCACAAAGGAAGGAAAAATCGAGATTCCCCCCACCCTGAGTGGCTGCATTTCCATATTTGCTCCTTTATTTTACCAAGGGAAATTTATGAGATGTCAGAGCTTGTTAATGTTGATGTCGGCGGAGCACCCAGGGCTGGAGCGGTGGCGCGGGGCGCTCCGGGGCTCCCGGGATCCTCCCTCGGCTCCCGCCCGCGATGCGGGCAGGGAAACACCCCGTGTGCAACCCGTTCCTGCGGGGATGGACGGGTGGTTAAACGAGGGTGAGGTGGGAGCCGGCCCGGCGGCGAGCGTGCGCGCGTGCCCCGGGCTGCACCGCGCGCGTCTGCTTGTGCAAACCCGCTGCTGACACCAGCTCCTCATCGGAGCCCTCGGTCAAGGGGTTCTGCAGTGAAGCTCCAGTAACTGCTTTGTCCAAACCTGTTGTGAACAGCGACAAAAGAAGCTGTTGTGGAACTGCAGCTTATGCAAATATGTAACATGGCAAACATGGTTGCCATCACTGAATGCACAAATTAGACATAAAATTTAGCAAATTAGGCACTTAGGCTTGAATGCGCGTTAAGTAGAAACTATCTCCTAGTCATTAATCAGAGAATCCTCACTGAAGCTGTGCGAGGCTGCATTGCCAGCCCTCTCCACCCAGCAGTGCTTGCAAAGCTGAGAGATTTAACGCTCCGCCACTTCCTTCCCCAAAACTTCTCCCATCAGAAATGTCACCAGGACGTGCAGAATCAGGCAGGAAGCGCTCGCTGCCGCCGCGCGGTTGTTGATGCTGCCTCGCAGGCTTGCACCTATGCATGGCCAACGGACCATTGTAGCTTGAAATCAAAATTAATTAAACCTTGTTTACCGTTTTGAATTAGTGAGCTAATGAATGTGGTGCCTCGCAGGCATCCATCTTGGTCAAGTACACGGTGCCTCGCAGCTGTTGTTTGTGTCTCCATTAGGTTTGCTCCAGTTTTTATGAAGACATCTACAAAGTAATAAGCCCTGGACTTATTTGACTCAAAATTATAAAATTTTTATTAGCTTCTGGGAAATACGGTTTTCTACTTTTTACCTAGCAATAAAAGTTGATTTGCTCTATAGCTTTCTCATAGCTAGTGCCCAAAAATTCTATTACGTAAATCTAATGACTCTTTTTAATAGACACTGGGGCTGTCCCCTGTGAGCAAACCCCCCTGGCTGGCTGTTGACTTGGTTATGAACGTGGTCTCTGCTATTGAATCCTACCTGCATCAACAGCCCCGGCGCGCGGACGTGCGGCCCCGGTTGTTTATCCCTCTTTCTGGAGGTTTTTTTGAGCAATACTGCTGCTCTTGAATCTGCCTCAGTTTGTTCAGAGCCCAGCGACGTCGCATTGGGATGTCAGGCAGATGCCGAGCTCTGTCCCCTCCATCCCTAAATAATCCCGAGGTTATCTGGGCAGCGGGAAGCCGCGTGGCACCAGCCCCGTCCTGCTCCACAGCCGCTTTGCCGTGGGTCTCGGGGGTTTTTCCATATTCAGCAGGGCTACCTCAAGGCTGAGTGTTGGTCAGGGCTTCCCTTGTTGGTATTATCGCCCCCCAGGGTGAGATGTATACATTTTAAATGCGTAAAATAACAACTACATAAATGTGTGTATATCTCTTAAAGGAGCAGGCACATCCAGCAATTCCCCCGTCGGGGCGGGTAGCCCCATGTGCATGACGGTGCATGGACACACGGGCGGCCACGCGGCCGCTCACTGTGAGGTGACACCGCGGTGGCCGTGCGATCCTGTCCCTTGGCTATGGAGCCGAGGAGCCCGCGCTGCATCCCGCCCGCTCCTTTTTTTCTGGCTCCAGGGAATCCCTGGGAATTCTCGGCCCTGCCGCCCTCCTCCGTCCTCTCCTAGGGCTGCTCGTGGTGGGGTGTGAGGGCCCTTGTCCTGGCGCAGGGGCAAAATGTTCCACCTGGAGACCACGGTGCTGGCGAAAATGCACCTATACATGTGTATATATATATGTATATATAAAAATACATTAGAGCCCTTGGCAAAACACTGCCAAGCCAGGGGTCATGGAATGGCTCCTTTGGCCCGTCCTTTGCAGCTCAGAGCCCTTTGGGGGTTTTTCCTGCGGACAGGAGCGTTTTCCACCAGGCCATGGGAGCCATCAGCAAAAGTGCAAGCAAGCAAACTCCTCAAACCCTAAAACAGCGCTTTTATGGTCGTTAC